TATTATACAGAAGACCAATCAGGAGCTTCTGTTCTTCCTGCCTCAGTGCACAAGAATAAAGTATGAATGACATTGAGAAGTGGAAAATGTTAAAAGAAAATTCTGTTATTAAACATCTCATACATAGACTATAGAACTCATTGCAACGGCATGCAACTAAGAGCAAGAATTTAGGAAAATTCATAGAATCTTGGATATATTATTATACAGAAGACCAATCAGGAGCTTCTGTTCTTCCTGCCTCAGTGCACAAGAATAAAGTATGAATGACATTGAGAAGTGGAAAATGTTAAAAGAAAATTCTGTTATTAAACATCTCATACATAGACTATAGAACTCATTGCAACGGCATGCAACTAAGAGCAAGAATTTAGGAAAATTCATAGAATCTTGGATATATATACCAAAAATAGTAAGAGTGAGTACTTACAATTTTTGGAAGGGATATAACACTTCAAGGCTTAATTTTTAACTAATAGGGTTCAGCTGAGGCTTCCATGAGGAGCAAATTAAATCACATCTGCCCACTGTGGGTTTTTGCAACTTCCTCTCATGTATCTCGTAAATAGGTACTGTACAGAACAAGATATTGGATTAGCTGGTCAGTGAGTCTGATCTACTATAGCATTTCCTATGTGCCTAAAACATAAGGAGTCTGTGATTTGCCTAAGGATTCACAGTAAAACAGTAGCGTGGAACTCTGCGGTCCCAGGCCAACTGCCAGAGCCTGTGCTGTCCCTCAAAACAAGAACTAATCTCTCTCTCTGTCTCTCTGATGTTAAATTGTGTTTAATCGAATAGTTGATGGAATTTCCATCGACTGCTGCGTTACTCAGTAAGAGGGGGAACTGCAGAGGAGTGGTCAGCAGGGCTGAGATTGGAAGGCCCCTCGCAGCCAGGGACAGAATCATAGAACTGGAAGAGACCTCAGAAGGTCATCAAGTCCAGCCCTCTGCTCTAGGCAGGACCAATACCAACTAAATCAACCCGGCCAGGGCTTTGTCAAGCCGAGACTTAAACACCTCTAGGGATGGAGACTCCACTACTTCCTTAGGTAACCCATTCCAGTGCTTCACTACCCTCCTAGTGAAATAGTTTTTCCTAATATCCAACCTGGACCTCGCCCACCACAACTTGAGGCCATTGCTCCTTGTTCTGCCATCTGTCACTACTGAGAAAAGCCTTTCTCCATCCTCTTTGGTGCCTCCCTTCAGGAAGTTGAAGGCTGCTATCAAATCCCCCCCTTACTCTTCACTTCTGCAGACCAAACAGACCCAACTCCCTCAGCCTCTCCTCATAGGTCAAATGCTCCAGCCCCCTAATCATTTTGGTTGCCCTCTGCTGGACCCTCTCCAATGCGTCCACATCCTTTTTGTAGTGTGGGGCCCAGAACTTGACATAATACCCCAGATCTAGCCTCACCAGAGCTGAATAAAGGGGAATAATGACATCTCTGGATCTGCTGGCAATGCTCCTCTTAATGCAACCTTAATGCCATTAGCCTTCTTGGCTACAAGGGCACACTGTTGACTCATATCCATCTTCTCATCCACTGTAACCCCCAGGTTCTTTTCTGCAGAACTGCTACTTAACTGGTTGGTCCCTAGCCTGTAACAATGCTTGGGGTTTGTCCTTATTGAACCTCACCAGATTTCTTATGGCCCAATCCTCCAATTTGTCTAAGTCACTCTGGATCCTATCTCTGCCCTTAAGCGTATCTACCTCTCCCCTTAGCTTAGCGTCATCTGCAAACTTGGTAGGAGTGCAATCCATCAACTTATCCAGGTCATTAATAAAGTTCTTCTTCGAGTGACCCCGTGGGTGCTCTACTCTAGGTGTCAGGTCCCCTCCGAGCCGCGGTGCCGGGACACTTTTCATAGCCGTGCTCCGCCGGCTTGTGCATGCGTGGTTCACCAGGACAGCGTTCACGCCTTTGATCAGCCGCGCATGAGCCGGCAACCGTCAGTTCCTCTCAACCGCCTCAGGTCGCAGTCGGAGCTCCCTGATCTCTCTTTACTGATGGTTTTAGATAGTTCTCTACTGTAAATAGTTAGTTAAAGTTTAGTGTTAGTTGTGTTCCTCTTTCTTGTTCTTCTAAAAAAAAAAAAGTTTACTCTCAAGACTGTTCAGTGAAAGCCATCGCAGCTAAGCTGGTGAAATTGACTACCCATACGGGGATTACACAGGCATTCCTTAACTGTGGTGACAATGCCTGGCTCAACTGGGTTCAAAAAACGCTTAAAGTGCCGTGAAGCCATGCCAACGGCTGACTGCCATGACACTTGTATCAGGTGCCTGGGGGAAACTCATGTCCCTGACAAGTGCAACCATTGTAGAAAATTAACCTCAAGAGCCCGGAGGGAGCGGGAGATGAAGGTCAGAATGTAGATGTTTGACAAGGCATTGCAGCCTGATCCGATCCCTCCTGCGACCACAAAAACCTTGGGGCATAAGAGGAGAGCGGCTTCTCCGGGATCGGCTCTCTCCAAGACAGCAAAGCCATCCCCAACGCGCTCTCTCCCTGCGGCAGCCACAACGTCGGCAGGAGCTTCCAAGGTGACCCCCGGGGGGTCTGGGGCTGGTAGGGGAGAACCCCCACCGCCCAGAGGGAGATCGGCTTCAGTGCCGACATCGGGAGCGGCGCCGCAGCTGGCCGGCAAGTCTGCACCGGCTTCAGCAGCGCGCTCCCTGAAACTGACAGACACGCCGGTGCCGCAATTGACCAGCCTCTCCGCACCGGCTTCAGCGGCACCTAATGCACCGGTGCCTATCCTGCCTGCCCCGGCGTCAGCACCGCCCCTTCCAGCACCGGCATCTGAACCAGAACATGTTGATGCCTCAGGCACGGCACCGTCGTTAACCTCGGCACCGGACGACATACCGCAACAGCTGACTTCTCCAGTACCGCTTCACTTTCATTCGGTGCCTGGCTCCCCCATGCCTCTGGGGATGGATGGGACTTCTACACCTAGAAAATCATTATCCAAGACCCATTATAGGGACAGATCCTTTTCTCCAGCTGTTTCACCAGGAAGACATGATCGCTATCGTGCTTATGTGTCTCCCTCACGGATTATGCGCAGCTGGCATGACTATAGGGATGCAGTGTACTTAGACACACATCGGTCCCGTTCACGATCCCGTTCACCCTCCCGATTTTCGAGGTACGGGTCTGTTAGACGCTCTCCATGTCGCGTCTATTACATCCATCATGGTAGTGCACGTTCCTCTCGGCACTCCTCCTCGTCGCAGTCTGAGCGCTATTATGACCGCTATTATAGATCATATTACGATCGTCCCCAGCGTGACTATACTCCATAATCACGCAGGGGATCTTCCTGCGTCCGCCAATCACCGACAGCAAAATACTTACCTCACCGATCACAGCCATTACACCCACCGGCTAAGAGTCCAACGATCCAGCTAGACCAGTCTGAACTGGAAGAGGGACAGTTGTCTGAAGCAGAAGACCCTAAGCGGGAGACTCCTCCAGCAGACTGTTCCTCGTCTTCCCCGGATGAGGCGATATGCCCGATTGACATCTCCCCACTGGATGATCTGAAACACTTTCAGGATCTCTTCAAACAAGTGGCGGGCACGCAGGAAATACAGTTGGCGGATGTTCCGGTTAAGAAAAATCTCCGTCCACAACAACGTGCAAAGATCGCGTTACCAATCGATGACGTGATAATGGAAGTGGCAGATGAGATATGGCAAAACCCCACATCGGTTACCCCTACGAGTAAAAAGGCTGACACAAAATATTTTGTTCCGGCGAAAGGATTGGACTTTTCATTCAATCACCCCCAACCTAACTCGTTGGTAGCAGATGCAGCTCAACATAGGAATAAGGCGCCACAGTACAGAAATACCCTTCCAGACAAGGACAATTAAAAATTAGATATTTTTGGCAGGAAAGTCTACTCCTCAGCCACACTGTTGTTACGGATTGCAAACTACTCAGCCCATCTATCGAATCATAATTTCGATAATTATTCGAAGTTAACAGAGCTGCTGCACCATCTTCCAGACAGCAAGAAGCCACTCCTGAAAGCAATAGTTCAAGAAGGGTACGCATCATGTAGTACTGCACTACAGATTGCCATGGATGTGGCTGACACAGCAGCTTGAGCCTCTGCTACAGGTATTGCCATGAGGAGATCATCTTGGTTTTCATCAGCAGGGGCTCCAAAGGAGTTGCAACGCCCCGCGGGCCCGCTGCCACTGGTATAGCCATGAGGAGATCATCTTGGCTTTTGTCTGCAGGGGCACCGAAGGAGTGGCAGAGCAAGGTTGAGGATTTGCCCTTTGACAAACTTAAACTTTTTGCGGCAAACACTGATGAGGTCCTCCATTCGGGGAAAGATTCACGTACAACTCTACGTACGCTTGGGATGTACACACCTTCCTTCAAACGGAGACGTTATTTCCCTTACCAACGGAGATATGATTTCAATTTTTCTAGACAGCAGACATGTCCCTTCGACAATCAGCGTCCTAGACAGCGCCCTCAGCGCAAGCGGCCACAACAGAACCGTTCGGCTAATCAGTCATCGACTAAGCAGCAAATTTGACTTGCTTGTCGAGGATGCAAGCCAACTGCCTTTAATCAACACGGAAAATCATCATCTTTTTCACCATCGTCTACGCTCATTTTATCACCAGTGGTCTGCAATCACCACGGACAGATGGGTGCTAGAAGTAGTTCAGTCCGGCCTCTCCATCCCCTTTCTCTCTATTTCCCCTACCACTCCCCCTACCCCGTCCCTCTTCAGGGACCCCTCTCATGAGAAACTGTTGAAGCAGGAAGTTCAATGCTTGCTTGCCATTGGAGCGGTAGAGG